TGCTCCGAGGCGAACAAAGAGCCGGTCGGGCCGTGCCCGCTCGGTGCTGTCGGGCCGACACCGTATTCAGCTGCTTTGTGTCTCGTTCGGCTCTTGCCGTGCGGAGCTCGTCGGGCCTGGGGGAGTCTCCGGCTGGCAGTGTCCCTTTGGGAGCAGCGGAATGAAAACGTTATTTTTGTCAGGCAGTGCTGCAGGGTGTGGTAGAGTCGCCGCCCCTCGAGGGCTGTAAGGACAGACTGGACGTGGCACTGTGTTCCGTGGTTTAGTTGACATGGTGGTGTTAGGGGCATAGGTTGGACTTTAAGGTCTCAGAGGTCTTTTCCAACCTGATCGATTCAGTGATTCTCGAGGAGGTGTTTATTGTCTCCACCTCATAGCTGTTATGAGGTTTGTTTTTGTCTCTTGTTCCATTCTCTTGTTCCATGACACTGGCTTGGCAGTTAGTGCTTTGTTTCCTGCTGCATTGAACCCGTGTCTGTTATCTGTGTCGGTGAGGTGCCCTATCCTGTTTGTAGATGCAAAGTGAGACAATGCAGGTCAGGAGTGCTCAGGCAGGTGACTGTGACCTGCATGACCTGTACATACCTGCTATTACAGGCACTTTCACACTTCACCCTGCTCACACATATGCATGGCTCAATCCACTGAGAAACCTTTTGATACCTCATCTTCTGACAGTCTAGAGGAACATTGTTTTTGGTAAAATCAGAAATGAAACCTCTTGTTGTGAGTGTGAGTGCTGAACCTCCCGTTGTTCTGCGGCTGTAACGGGGTTTGTTTCCTCCCCCAGGAAGCCCTTACCAGCCCTTGATTGAAGCCCTGGGAAACCACCCACAGAAGAAGTTCTACAATGTGTCGAAGCTCGGAGGCGCCAAGTATGGTAAGATACTCTCTGGGGGAATTGGGGTGGTCCCAGCAGCAACTGCACCTCTGATTGCCTGACAATGTCAGGCCTGGATTCCTTATGGCTCATTGTTCCAGTTGATCACTACCTAATGGAGGTGGCAGGGGAACTAGTTGAAGCTTTTTACAGTGAGGAAGTAAGTCCAGAGAAGGCCACAAAGCTGATAAGAAGACTGGAGCACCTCCCCTGTGAAGGCAGGGAAGTTGGGGCTGTTCAGCCTGGAGAAGAGCAGGTTGTGAGGAAACC